CAATTTGGATGTTTTAAAATCCAATTTAACATCTTTATATCAAATCCTTCAAAACAAAATGCTCTTATTTTTGGAATGTACATGCTTTTTCAGAGCAATTGCCAGGCCTCTAGCTGGAGCATCACCCCTCGGTCATACAGTAACAAACGTGCGGGCCCTCTCTGGTGGCGCAACAGGTTAGGACACAGCACTGCAAGCTGGCCGCAGCTGCTTCAGTGCGAGTTCGATCCCTGCCTCAGAGGTGACCCACAAGGCTCAGCAGATTCTTCTGACTCGCCTGCTGCTCCCCTCAGCAGTGGACTTCATCGACTTGCCTGTTCTGCCCCCAACTCTGTCTCTGACTAAGTCTTTCACCACTCCTGCACCTCTGGCCTGTACCCCAGTTCTGTAAGCAAAAGTAAATAAATCTTAAGGAAAAAAAAAATGTGACCTCTGCATTTAGTGGCACCCACAGGGTCTCTGCACTCTCTTCCTCTGCCAAGTAGGCCCCACCTGGACTGTGCCCTCTGCTCCTCCCACGGTAACCAGGTAACAGGCTCTACCATGGACTGTCAGATGGTTTGCTCTGTGGGGTTTCCACATGGTGGGGTTGCTTCTTGGCTACATTTGGTGTTCTGGATTGGAAAGACAATCCCCAGTGCTATTCTTTTGTTCCTCTGGATTGCAGCCCTGTGGGCACGCTGCCAGACAATGTTCCACGCCAAGCAGTAGGCTTGGAGCCAGATTCAGCCGGAATTCAAGTTCTCGCACATCCCCTGCTACATCCCTGAAGAGATTTATATTTTGTGGTACAGCTGTAACCCATTTCTAACACATCAGTACACCAATGCATACCCATGGCACTTTTTAAAAGATCTTATTTATTTATTTTTTGCATAGAAGAACTGGGATGTAGACCAGAGGTAGAGTGTTAGAGAAACAGAGTGGGGAGTAGAACAGGTAGATCTACTGAAACACACTGCTAAAGGGAGGGCAGCAGGAGGTACAGGAGAGGTCTGCTGCACCATATGTGGGTCTCACCATATGTCAGCTCCCTGGCCAGGGATTGAACCTAGCCCATCGTGGTGGTAGTGCTGAGCTGAATCCCTAGGCCACCAAAGAGACACATAGCATATTTTTTTCTTTTAAAGTTTTTATTTATTTATGCATACAGAACTGGGGTACAGGCCAGAGGTGCAGGGGCAGTGAGAGGATTCACTAGAGACAGAGTGGGGAGCAGAACAGGCAGATCAAAGTACACTGCTGAGGGGAGCAGCGGGCAGGAAAGGTCTGCTGAGCCATGTGGGTCACCTCCGGGGCCAGGGATTGAACTCACACTGAAGCAGCCACCACCAGCTTCACAGTGCTGCTCTCCTCCAACCCACTGGGCCATCAGGGAGGACTACATATTTTTTTCTTTTTACCTGTGTCAGTATGTGATTTCTTAAGCTAGCCACTATTACAGTTAAGAGGTCCCCGTGGAATGCAGCTCATAGAATTATGTAAATCACCTCTATCATACCCTGTCAGGGAGTCAAAGAGACCTATGGTGGGCTGAAGTCTTTGATAGTGGGAACACATAAAATTAGATTAAAAAGCATGTTCTACCACCTGTTGGGTGTTTGAGTGTTTAAAACAGGTTTTAAGTTAACCTTGTAGGAAATGAGTGTCTTGAGATACCTTTGTTGTTGTTTTTTTTTTTAATTTTTAAAGATTTATTTATTTATATATACAAGAACTGAGGTGGGAGAATTCACCAGAGACAGTGATAAGCAGAATAAGCAGCTGTACCAAAATACACTGCCGAGGGGAACAGCACCTCAAATTTTCTGTCTTAGAATCATTCAAATTCCTTTGGAATAGACTCTGAATTATTTACATTTCACTTCCTATCCTAACACTTGGCCTGTCTCAGACTGAATCCCTTCATTGCCTAAATTTGTAGGATTGTGACAATTACGATGCAAATCCAAGAAACCTTCACAAGAAGCAGCAATGGGTCTCAAACAAACAGCAACAACAATCACCCATTCTACCAGGAAATTGAGAGCCGGAGGTGGAAGGTTCTTCACAGGCCCATAATTAGTCAATAATGCGGCCAGAAATAGAACCTCACTTTCCAATCCTCTAGAGTCTCTGTTATTTCTTCCTTTCCACATCTGCATACCCAGTTCCTTTTAAGCCCTTCTTTCAGAATAATAAAACAAGGGTTTACATGTCTCCTCAAAATGCAGTAAGTGGGCTGATATCAGAGAAATAAATTGATAAATTACATACTCTTCTTTATGACCATAAAGATAAATGTCACACAAATATCCTGGATGAACAGTTGCCACAATGCCGAAAGACTTCATAGTCAGTGGTGGGCAATACCAATACAAAAAAGCAAGTTACCTTTTATCTCAGGCACCTGGCAGTTTTAATGATGATGTCAAATGCATTTTCAGGCTTTTCTTTTTTTTTTTTTTTTTCCGAGGCTATTTGTGCTGTGAAGTGCTCTGTCTTGTGAAATGTCAGAGTACTGCCTTTTCAGTGGTTGCCATTTTTCATTTGACTGCACTGGAACAGTGCAAATGTTCTACTGAAAATGCTCAAGTTCAGCAAGGCTCATAAAATTGTTTTTAACATCATTATTATTGTGAAGACCTGCAAATGGAGGACCTATAGCCTTGTTCGAGTTCGGCCTTTGAACTGACATAGATTTACATGGTAAAGGTGGAATGGAGCATACTTTTCAGGAATGTTCTCTGGCCACCTCGGTGCTATAAGAGGCTTGAATGTGAACTGTTGCAACTCTTTTCCTAGCCATCACTCTGAGGTTTCTCACAGTAGTTACCACTGTATTCTAGTGGTTTCCTTAGTAGCATATATGACAGAATGTAATTATAGGTTTGTTGAGAGAGGCAGTAGGTGACGCCTAACTTGGGTTCAAAATCTCAGTTCAACTATTTGTATTTGTTGCCTTTTTTAAATGATTTTTTTAAAAGATTTATTTATTTGTGCATATAGAACTGGGATACAGGCCAGAGGCTCAGGGGCAGTGAGAGGCTTCACCAGAGTGGGGAACAGAACAGGCAGATCCACAAAGTACACTGCTCAGGGGAGCAGCAGGTGGGTCAGGAGAGGTCTGCCACACCATGTGGTCACCTCCCGGGCAGGTGGAAATTGAACTCATGTGGAAGCAGCTTTAGATTCTCAGTGCTGTGCTTTAACCCGCTGCGCCACCAGGGAGGGCCCCGTAATGATTTTTAATAAGATTTATTTATGCATGCAAGAACTGAGGTATAAGCCAGAGTTGCAGGGGGTGAGAGGATTCACCAGAGACAGAGTGGGGAGCAGGACAGGCAGATTGGCTGAAATACATTGCTGAGGGGAGCAGCAGGCAGGTCAGAAGAGGTCTACTGTGCCATGTGGGTCACCTCGCTGGCTGGGGATCCAACGCGTGCCTCAGTGGCTGCAGATCGCTTCCTGGTGTGGTGGTATGCTTTACCCCACTGCACCACAAGGGAGGGCCTGTATTTGTTGCCTTTGCATACAAATAACTTACCAATCTGAGACTAACTTTCTTTAACTATAAAATGCACAATATGCTACTCAGGTGACACAGATGTTGTGAGAATAAATGGAGATGACATTTGCAAAGCATTTCCAGTGGTGCTTTTTCATGGTGAAAATAGTGTGTTTTCTATGGTTCTCATGAATATATTGCTATGTCACTCTTCTCTCACTCCACATTAAACTAAGAGTTCTATGAGGGCAGGAACCCCTTTGTTCTTCCTTCCAATGAGTATTCAGTGAAGAAAGTGCTTCTAACATAGTGGAGAATCAAGCAAGATCTGTAGCTGAATAGATGGACAGATGAAGGAATGGACCAATTTTTAAATCTACCAAGTGCTTTCAAATCTGTGGTCACATTTGAGAGTATTGCTGTAAGATGGGCTACTAAGTGTTCATTTTATTTGTGAGTAAACTGAAATGTGAAGATATTAAGTGAATTGCTCAAGAGTAGATTTAAAAGGCATATCCTGGATTTGAACTCAGGTCTTCTGAATTTAGTGAAGAACAGAGATCTGAAAAATCTGTGAGCTGGTGCTCAGAGAGTGAGAAATAAAAAGACCGTGGAAAAGTACTAGGTTGTGGAGTCTGTTTGACAGGAAACACGATCACAGGGTTGTTGTTTTTCTCCAGATACTTTCAGTTGTTCTGGTAAGGGCAGAGATTTAATTGTGGCTAGGATTTTTTCAGGCAAGGGTGGTGAATAGGGAAGGAATATGATGGATTTTATTTTGGGATTTTGGAACCCAAGCCCGGTAGAAGAAAGGGAGGGAAGTAACATGAATATTGCTGCCAAAGAACTCGCAGAACAGGCTATAGACTCTTCGTCCCTTGACGCTCTGGGTTGCCAATATAACCATGAAATTGAGACCAAAGATACAGGTCTTCAAAAAGAAGACGTTAGCTTGTTAAAGGTTGAAGAAGTGTTTCCTTCCACAGTTAGCTGCCTAGTCCCCAGCGTGTGCCCGTGAGGTTAGAACACGCCCTGGTCTTTGAGCTAAAGGAAGAAAAGGAAGATAGATGCTCCCGCATCTGTCTCCCTTGATGCAGGGAACCCTCACAGCTCCCAGACAGCTGATGGGGAGTGAGTCAGTGTCATATACAGCCAGGGAGTCCCCTGGGCGGAGAATCCTCAGCTGGGGTGAATTCTGGGAGCAGTCAACTCCCCATGAGTTCCACCGTGGCCTATTTTTCCGTAGGTCTCCAAGTTTTCATCCTCGCAGGTGGAGGTGGGTTTCTGTGCTGTGGGTCAGAGCGCAGGAGCTGCGCTTCTGCTCTCCAGCAATTCCGAAGAGCGCTTCTTCGAGGGACCCGGGAAGCCTCCCACGAGGTAGCAGTGTCTAGCTCCTCAGGCTCACTGCTGCAGAATCCAGGGGTGCGTCCCCCTTTTCCGATTCTTGACGTCAGTCTGTGACACCCGCGAAGATTCGCAAGGGCGGTGGAGAGCAGGAGAGTGGCAGGCAGGGGAAGCCATTGCAGCAGCAACTTGGAGGCGAGCTGGACGTCTCTCCAGGAGAAAAATCCAGAGCGGGAGCCAGAGTTGGCGAGGCGGAGGACCCGCCAGCCGGGGAGGCGCAGGGTTACTGCAAAGAGGGGCGGGAGAGACGCGGGGCTGCGTGCTGCGCGCTGGCTCCAGCGGTGCCGCGGGGAATGTGACATCAGCTGCGCCCGGCGCTTGCGGCTGGAGGAAGCTGCTCGCCTCCCTGCGCGGTGCGCAACTCGCCCGGGGTAGGACGCAGACCCGGGCAGGCGGCAGGGATGTCGGCGAAAGAGAGGCCAAAGGGTAAAGTGATCAAGGACAGCGTCACCCTTCTGCCCTGCTTTTATTTCGTCGAGGTGAGTTGGCCCAGCGCCTTGGCATAATGCAGGTCCACCGGGCGCCGCTGGAGCGAATTCGGGTCTGCTGGAGACGCGGACACTTAACAGGGTTCGCGCCGCTGTCCCCAAATGCCCGGCCGTCCCCCATCCCATCTCCCCCGCCCAGGGTTTTTCAGAAAGCCCCCCACCCCCGCCCCCCGGTGTGACTGTGAGAGCCTGCCCAGCCAGGGTGCCATCACTGGTGGTGTCGCTCTGGGTAGCCTGCGGGGACAGGTACCTGTGTGAGTGTGTGTGGGGGGTTAGTTCCCAGGCCTCCTGTTGTGCTTGTGTGCGGTGTCTGCGCCCCGGAGGGGCCATGATGCCGCTATTTCAGAATGTGTGTCTTCAGTCTTGGAGTGCAAAGCTAGAACTCTATAAGAAGCTTTTGATGAGGTATATGAGGGCTGGGGATGTTTACATAGTACCAGAATGATCGATTCCTTTTCTCACCAAACCAACCCAAACGCCAAGCCACCGTACCATTAACAACAAAAACCTTGTTTTTACTATGGTGGTCACATCTGCTTCTAAAATTAAATCTGCACATCTAGGCATGAATTTATCAGTCCCTTTCCATAGTTAACAAAAATTATAGATCTACACCTATATACACAGGTACATACATACATACCTATGCATGCGGATGTATATATTCATAATATAGAATATATAATGATTTCTTCATCAGTGACATCATCGGATTTTTACATGATTTGTACATGTCCACTTATTCTATGCTCAGTAGTGTTACAAATAAGCAATTCACATGTAGATTATTCACAATGACCCTCCAATTTACTGAAATGCAGTATTTAAGGGAGGAACAGTCTATGGGAGGGTTATAAAGATTGGCAGGTGTAATGACTCCATGCACTGTGGTCCATTGTAATAGGAAGACATTTTTAAGCAAGAGGCTTATTAAATCATAGGTAGAGAAAAGATATTTGGAGAGGTTTTGTGAAACCATTTGGTTTTAGGCATGAGACTATGTTTAATTAAGCTTGGGTTACATAAAGAATTATGAGGCTGCTGATGAATTATAAATATCCTTCCTTGGCCATCTTTTCAGTCAAATATGGAGGTTTAGCACTTGCAAGTACAGATAGCAGATTCTGTATTTGATAACTGTGAGGCTTATCTGTGTTCAGGGATAGTCGCTGCCGTAATCTGGGGAAAGGGGCATTGTCAGAATTCTCTTGTAGATGATAGTACATATGCAAGTTTCTCTTAGGTCTCACTGATTGTTTTTAAATGGGTTTAGCTTTCAGAAAGATGTTTGTGACTCAGAAAAATGATGGGTAACTCCCATGACTCAAAGAAAGGAAGGGAAAAAATGCCCTATTTATTTAGAGCAATTAATTGATTCTTATAAATTTGTCCTTTCATAAGAGATTTTGAAGTGATGCTTTAGGTAATTTTATTGACACATTATAATCTATTAAAAAATGTGGGTAGCAAAACATTCTGTGATGAAAAGGGTAAAAGAAGAGTCAGATAAGATATATGACTTCAAGTTAAATCCCTTCAGCTACTTGTCGCACTTTGGCTTTGAACAGAAGTATTTTCATTCATGTCTCAATCTATTACATCTGTTTAGGAGAAATCAGTTAATTGCTGGGATCCATCTCTAGGAAGGAGCAACTTGAGGTCAGCTAGAAATGACTACATAGGGATTTCAGCGCTATGACTTCAAGGAAAATATTTTCATGAAAGAGGAAGCAAGCCAGAGAATTAAGGGCAATTCTATAAAGAACCTGTGTACACTTTTGAGGTACCTTTAACAGGAGCACATGTCCCTTACCCTAGAATTTTAAAAGTAAAAAGACCTCATACTACATTGGAAATGTGTCTCTAGGAACAAACATAAGACATATGCTACTTCTTTTCCATGAAACGAAATAACCCAAATTCATTACATTCAATTTGACCCACTTAGATGCACTCTACCAACTCTTTAGCAGGGCAATCTATTGAACAATTACTTGAAGACAATTCATGGAGTCTGAATGAACATTTATGACATTATGTCTTGGGGGTAACAGACTTGAAAGGGAAAGGCCCAGAATTGGATTGCAAATTATCTCTAGGAGATTTAAATGCATGCTAAACCACTACAGAGCCTCTGAATGTGGGAGAAGACATTAGTACACAATTATTTATGGGGTTGACAGAATGCTCCACTGAGTTCCTTTAGAATGACTAATTTTGTTGCTGGTGAGAATGAGCTTTCTTCTCCTATGGTAAATGATTAAATATAACATGAATTTATGTCAGTAAAGTACTTTAGAGTAATGACATCTTGCTTTACAAGATAGTTTCCCCAAACCTTAGTAATTAATATGGAAAAGTGAAGCATGAGTGAATCTCCTCCCCTCACTTACCAATCAAGCCTTCTCTGTGACTTCAGAGAATAATTTATATAACAAAAGAAGTGAGAAGAACAGATCTTGAGGAGAAAACAATTTTTGGACACCAAGTTGATGACACCTTGGATAACTTAAACTGCCTTTCTTCAAGGAATTCATTCTGCTTTAAACTGATATTCATGACAAGCATGAGATATGAAGCAGCTAGGAACTGAAATGAAGTCAAACTGACTTATAGCAGAAAATGGCAGGACTATCTATGGGGAAACAATCAGGATGACCTGGTTCAAACCCCACCTTTGCCACATTCTGCTTGGATAATTTTCTCAACCTTCATCTATAATAGAAATTAAATAATAACAATTTAGATATCTGTAAACATAATTTTATATACATTCCTATGTAATAGAAACTATAGCACCTATATTTTAGAATATACTATGAGGTTAAACATGGAAGACACCAAGAATCAGGCCTTAGAAAGAACAGGTACCTGAGATGTGTGAGTTCCTCTTTTCTCTTATAACCACACTTGACCTAAGTTGATTTATTTTACTTCTGAGTTAGACTTAAGGAATTGAGTCCTGAAAGATCTGGAAAGTTCCCACTGTTCAGAAGAAGTCACCTCTTCCCTAAGTCCCTGATGAGGCTTGGGTTCCACTGAACAGTCCTGAAAAGGGAGAGAATGTAAACTAATGCACTTCTGAATCACTTAATATGTACTATGAATAAAACGTAAAGCTTTACCATATCATCTCACCTAGTTCTCAAAGATTCTTGTTAAGAAAGAAGACATTATTATCCATGTCTCAAGGACTGAACTGAAAGAAATTAAACAACTTTCCCAGGTTTACAAAGGTGTTAAGAACATAAGCTCTTACACTGCAAAAACTGTCTCTCTCAGCTTGTTGTGAGAATATTCATGTTGGCAAAGTTCCTCTTGTTTGTCTCTGGTAGCCTCAGGTTAGGGCACATTGAAAAAATATACAGATTTTCCTGCCAGCAGCCCAGTTTCCACCACTGAGTTCCTCCTTTATAGTGAAACTCTAGAGTTGGAGGACAGTGTACTTTATCCACATGGACTCCCTAGTTATCAGAGAATGTCCCTCAACTAGCCCCCATGAATTAATGTTGGGAAAGAGTTGGGCAACCTGAAGTGTCAGGGAATCTCTAATTCTACCTTAGAGGCCCTACACTGAGGTATTCAGTCACTAAAATCAGATAATCTCGTCCCAGTTCAACACCAGGTTTAATGTTAATCAAGCATTAATTTATAGATATATATATTTTTTATCTTTGATTTATGCCACCAGGTGTTTGCTGAAGAAAGGACTGCTGTTTGACAGTAATGAAATATAGCAATATTACAAAGTGATTTGAGAAATACACAATTATTTCCAACACTATTTATTTTATGAACGACTTTGAAAATTAAGTTTTGCATTTTTCAACTTGAGAAAAGAAAGGTCAAGCTGCAAATGGAACTCTCAGACAAACAAATCCAAGGCCTATCAGGTTAAGCAGAAAAGCAGATAAAAGGAATGTTCCACCAAGAAAATGTTTCCCTTGCCTTTAAAGCAATGACTGTATCACTTACAGTGGCAGCTACTGCCAGGACCTCACCTACAATTAGAAAATGGTCTTTCAAGCTTAATAACCCAATATCATGTGTGATAAGGCTGGTTGTTTTGTGTCTAATGCCTTTCCTTTGTGCAAAGTATTATGTTTTCCTCTATGCTCAGAATCACCATGGATACTCAATAGCCACAAGATATAAGGTCACATCAATACAGTATGTAGTATATGCAAAATGATAATTTACCATTTAAGCTAAAAAGACATAAATTCTTAATAAGTAGGAAAGAATTTTTAAAAGATGTATGTATGTATGTATGTATGCATAGAAGAACTGTGGTGTAAGCTAGAGCTACAGGGTGTGAGATGACTCACCAGAGACAGAGTGGGGAGCAGAACAGGTAGATCCACTGAAATGTACTGCTGAGGGGAAGCAGTGAGTATGACAGGAGAGGTCTGCTGCACCCTATGGGAGTAAGATCCCTGACTATCCTCAAACTCAGGCCCTCAGGGTAATAGCTGACACTTAACCCCTAAGGTACCAGGGAGGCCCCTAGAAGTTATTTTCATGGAAACAACCTCTTTCTGACATACATTGTCATTCATAATACATTGCTTAATTATTAAATAGAAGAGTTATGATTGATCTATGTGAAAATATATTTTTATAGGACTACTGATATAGTTTGAAATTCTTGGTACACACACACACACACACACACACATACGCACAAATTCTCACATACCCTTCTGTGCAAACGCAAGGGGGAGTGAGAACATCATCTCTTCTTCCAGTAAACATATAATAACAGTATCTGAAGCACTACAGATTCAAAATAATGAAATTATATGAAAGTTTTCACTAATTTAAACTGCTGCACTTAATAGTGGATTGCTTCAGGATTTTGTTAATGCCAATTAAATATAAGGTTAGAAATAGGCTGTGTGAAGCTAACTCTGTTGCCCTGCTCTATAGAGAGGTTCAAAAAACCTTTGTCTGAGCAAAGATGCCCTAGTTATTTTAATTTCAACACTATT